TTTACACAATTATTAGTTCCGGGCCGCAAATCATCGTGAAAATGTAGAATACAGATGATTTAGTTATGTTTGCCATAAACGATTGCCTATCAGGAAAACATGGCCGTTCTTTGCTTATTTTATATTATGTGTATATGCAAGTAGATTTTACTTTCATTGACACTTTCATTTCTCTAATTTTGTTTTTAACAAAACTTTTGTTCTGAGCAAATTTGACGAAATCATATTTCATTCTATTATTAATATTTGTACCAAACTGCTACGAAAATATTGAAGATAATAATATTCAAGACTTTCTCAAGTGTTAAAATCAAATTTTTAATTTTATGATTTGATTTGTGCTATGAATAAAAATTCATCCGGAATTTACGAATTTGCTTTTGTGAATTTTAACAAAGCTTAGATTTATTTTAGAAATCAGTCATCGCAGAGATCTTCCTTTCTAAAGTCAAACGAGGCAAGTTTGTGTAGCATTTATAGATTTCGTTCCATTATTAAGTCTAGAGTTTGAGATCGATGTTTATCGGATAAAAGGAAGAACAAATCGTCTTCTTTTTTTACATTCTTTAGAAGGTTTCGTTGAATGACCCTTGGTTTATTCATCCTTTTTTCTTTTAAGTTTGAGCCCAAAAGCTCTGAGCATGAAACAGGGTAGTCTCCCTTTTTCTTGCTGAAACTTCAAAGCAAAATCCTAAAGGGACATGGTAAAACCAGGAGAGAAGCAAACAAATTTCAAATAAGATCCAGGGATTCCTTCATACCGTAAATACTTATGTATAAGTCCGATCTTTTTACCAAGAAATCAAGGATTTATTATATACTTTGCATATACATAGATAAACACGTCTTTAAGTTCACAGCTTAACAATTTTGGGGATTTATTTTTTGCAAAATTAATTTTTTTCAATATAACCTAACGCTTCTCCATTAGTCAGTGAAATTTTTGGTCAAATTTCAAATAAAAATCATTTCGCTTTCAAAAAATAGCTTCATAGTGCAAATGACGAAATAAGAACACACACATATATATGTATTTTATATTCATGGAAGCAGGCAAGATTTCAATTTGTAAGGAGATATTTAATTGGTTTTATTTTTTTTTGGTTTGGTTTTATTTGGTCTGTAACAAAGTCATTTCAGGTAAATGGAAAATCTTCTTGCAACACTGTTACCTTGAAATGATTGTGTATGTATTGTCTTGTGCAAGATGTCATCCTCCCCTGCCTATGTTTAGAATTCAAATGTATCTATGTTGTCATGAAGTTCAGAGAAACAGTTGATCTTAACGTTTATTCCAACTTAATTTCAATAAAGACGAAATAAATAGAATAACATATGTATTTTTTCCTGAGTAATTTTATAATTTTAAACTTAATATAGATTAAATTTAAATTTTAAAATGGGTAATTTTTAATTTCAAATTTTATCACATAATTTAATATGTATTAGTTAGAATAAATTCTATTTTAGTCTAACCCCAACATTAAAGGATTAAATAATTATTATAACCAAAGTTTGTTGTCAAGTTTTTTTAATTCTCGTATACTTGTATTTTGATTGGTCATTCCAGCTTATGTAACAGCGTTTCCCCTTGCGAGGCGTGGTTAATTGACTTGAACTTTTTAAAATCCTTTATTCTACATTCCACATCATCACTTGATAAGACACCAGAGATGTTGAAACAAAATGGCTATTTTTGTAGTGATTTTATAACATATTTATGTTATAATTTTCGAATAAATAATTGTATTTGCTCTCCTCTGTATTGAGCACTCTTTTAAGAATACTATTTGTTGGTTACTGGAATTTATTCCGTATACACCAATCCTATACTTGGGCATATATATATATATATATATATATATATATATATATAGCGTATTTTCAGAATTACTATCGACTCTTAGTATAAAGTAAGAAATTTCCAAAAGGTTGGGTGCTTTTGTCAGACATTTTTTTATTTCATGAAAACCAACTTATCGGAGTCGGGCTAGAAAAATATTGTTTTAATATTGCTGTCTAATGGAAATCACATCACACAGGCACAGAGAGATTACAATATATATATATGTACGTGTGTTTATAAGTGTGTGCATGTAGGTGATTTAAATACATACATACATATATACATACATATTTTATATATATATAATATACAAATTTATATATATATATATATATTATATATATATATATATATATATATATATATATATATATATATATATATATATATATATATATATATATATATATATATATATATATATATATATATATATTATATATATGTATATTATAAAGTAAACAGATAGGTTGTCACATAAGTACGAAAATTTTATATCGCTGCCGTTTCATTGAATGCATTGAACACTCGTCTCTGTCATCAGGAATTTTTTTGATTACTTTACCAAAATCAATGTAACCCATAAAACATGTCAACTGTGTACCCCTTGAGAAAAATTGTAAGAACAATGTTGCAGTAAGTACAACTAGATTACAATGACAAGACCAAATTTATTCTTTTGTATTCATATGGATTTTCTTTAATGAAAATATTTTCATTTCACCGTTACTTCGACTTTTATTTCTCTTTTGAATTTCACAAATGTTCCTTTTATGACATTTTCCTAACTTGGAAATTAAAATCATTCCCATTTTGAAAACAAAATATCGATTGAATTTTGGGAAAATATTTTAAGTCCAGCTAATAATTTCAAGATTCATGAATCTATTTCCTTAATTCCATTATATTATTTTATAGTAAAATAGTTAAATATTTTTAATTCATTTGTAAAAAATGCATGTAATTCGTTAAACCTATATGTAGAGTATCTAATCAATATTCGCTGTTGAAAGAAGCCTGATATGTTTTGCAATATTTCAATGTTTTGTTATATCATCTTCAAAATAATATGCTTTTAATAAATATGTTGTATCCATCGTATCTCTGGAAATTTGTTCATTTCTTAAATACTACCTGCAAAAATGTTTGTTAGAATTAACTTCATCTTTGCTATCTTCAAGTTGATTGATACAAGTTTTATTTTTCACTTAATCATTCATAAATGTTTTTTTTTATAGTCGGATTTATGAAATATTGGAATCAATATTTTTTTATATATTCGAAAAAATATGATAAGGTTAATGTTAGAAAATATATCTGTGTGGATCGTAGGGAAATAGCCAAAAAATAAATATTTATATTATCAAGATTTAAAAGTTTCTTTTAAATTGACAGGGAAAATTGCATTTCATTAAAACATCGCTTGTTCTCTTTATCAAGAAGAATAAGATTTGATTAAGATTTGCCTTTTTACCTTCTATTTACCTCGTATATTTTATTTTTATACTTTTACTTTTGGTCCCTTTATTTTACAATCAAATTAGGAAAAATATTCTTTCTGGATGTCCATTCTATAATTGTCAATGGCGCATAATAGATACCAATGATTGGTCAAGAATTAAATTTTATATATATTCAATCAACAGGTTTAATACAAACGCAGGCGTTTGTGTTAAATGGCTCTTGTAATTATGAACATTATGGATATTTCTGGTGATTTCTTGGTCCTCACAAACTGTAAAGCAGAGTTCAAATTCGGCCTCTCCCAGTGTAATGCACTAGAATAAGGAATTGTGAGGTAAACCTTTAAGAATAATTAAGTTAATATGAAATAAGATGTTACTAAACTGATTTATTTAGTAATACTCTCTTGTTTATTGATCGAGTACAAATTATCTACATGTATATTTTTGTAGTTAGTTTTATTGTTTATTACGCAAATTGTTTTTTATTAAATTGTTTTCTTTTAACGAAGTCATACTTTTACTCGGCAGTCAGATTCTTCTGTCTGCGCGGTTTTGTAGCGGCTGCCTATATTTCGATAGATATCATTTAATGGTTGATTCAATTTTTAACTGTTTCATATTCAACTCTCAGGATGTAGCCAACAGAATCTTGTTTACACACAATTCTTCATAATAACTAAGACGGTCAAAAGTACTTGAACAAAACAAACCTGAATTTCAAAGAGTTTGATTCAATTTTCATCCTGATTTCGAAAATTGGAAGAATTACAATGAAAAATTAAAGAGATAGAACTTGTTGGATGAATTTAAGAAAACATGTTTGGATATATTCATTCATATAGTTTTAGGGTATAGTCTGTGAAAAGAGTGAAATCCAAAAAATATAGTCCATTCTTTTGTTCCTTACGACTACTCGATCCCCACCCCTCTGGATTGCGTAATTAATCTGCATTTCAGATGTTATGCATCGATCTGTTGGTCATATATTTACACATGTGCATCTCACATTGATGGTGTGCATTCATGCACATTTCACAAAGGATTACTGTCATTTATACTCTGCATTTGCATATTGTATCGTCTTATTTTTATGACCACGCACTTAACACTTGCTATTCTCTTCTATCTTGCTTTTTATCTACTTGATTCTAATGACGTTGTTTAGGTTCACTAGTAAATGTATTTCAGTTTCTATCTTGCTACTTCATAGCAATTTCTATTTCAGCCACTTATATTTCAGCCATTTCGATTTTAGCCATTTCTATTTCAGGCATTTTCGCAATTTCTTTTCTGGGGTTTCGATACAATATTTATAATATTGTTTCTTGCCTTTCTGTTCACTATTCTTTTACTTTTAGTGCAGCTTTTCGCTTTTCTATTCTAGTCTTACTGATGTTGTTATTATTATTATTATTATTATTATTATTATTATTATTATTTTATTATTATTATTATTCCTAATGGTTAGAAAGAGTTAGCACTTCAACCATGAAACCCGTTTTAGGTTTCTCGCCATGGCCGATTTCTTGATGATATCGGCTTCGGGAAACGATCCCAGCGTGTAATTATTGGGAAGTGCTTGAAAATTAGACCAAGTGTTGACTGTCATTTGAGTGAAATTGGGTGGACGACATTGTTCAGAAGGCACGTTGGTGAATGTGTGCCAACACAAAGTTACTCACCCTCAGGGAGAGGCTCAGCCTACTAGTGTTATTCTACTGCTCTCTCTCTCTCTCTCTCTCTCTTTCTCTCTTTATCTCTCCCTCACTCTCTCTTTCTCTCTGTCTATCTCTCTATTCCTCTCTCCCCCTCTCTCTCTACCTTTGTCTATCTCTCTCTTTCTCTCTCTCTATCCCTCTCTATCTCTCTCTATCTCTTTCTCTATCTCCCTCACACTCTCTCCCACTCTCTCTTTCTCTTCCTCTCTCTCTCTCTTCCTCCCTACTTTCCTCCCTCCCAGAAATTGTAAATAATATCCGTTTTGCATAGTTTCAATATATAGTGATGCATAAAAGTCAGTGAATCCCTAAGATAATATTTTAAAATATTGTCTCTCTTTTCCAGATAACCAATTTCTTAATTAAACTATATATTCGTTGAGATAAATCTTTATTAAACGATTTACAAACATTTTGAATTTTTTTCAAGTTGAAATAAAAATATTTACTAACAATTAAAAATGAACATGCGCAAAATTAATTAAAACCTTACATTAACACATTCTATATTTTTGCTTTACATGGTTGCCAACGCAAAAACTTTTTTGTGCACGTGTAAAAATCAAATTGACACGTGTTCATTTTTGGGGGGTAAGCTGTGTATACTGCAGTCATACAATTTAACCGATTGTGTATGCAAAAAGATGCAGTTGAAGACTAAATTAAAAGAAAATTATGTCAAGATCAAAAGTTCCTGAAGCTTTAAAAAATGGCACAGTTGAAGCCTATAAGAAGGCTACAAAAAGCTTTCAAAACGATTTAGAATACACGTCCCCGCCGTGCAGGAAATTATTTGTAAATGGAAGGTCTTTGCTATGACGGTATCACAATGCAGAAGTTCTCATCCTCACAAATAACTACAACAACAAGTAGACATTCAGTTTGGCAAGCCCAGGCGAATCTGACTGTGACCTCTGCGGTTCTCCAACCCTCACTGGACAATGTCGGAATCAATGGGGATATGGTTACAGTACAAAGACATCTGAACGATGTTGGTCTTCATGGCAGAATGCCTAGATAAAAGCCAATTCTTACGAAAAAGCACAAACAAGCTCGTCTTAACTATGCCAAAACCTAGAATCGATCTGTCAATTTTTTTTTTATGGTCGGATGAGACCAAAGTAGGGCTTTTCGGGAAGAACGATAGGTGGTATGTCTTGCCAACAGTTATACATAGCGGCGGATGCATTATGATTTTGGGTTGCTTTGCTGCAGCTGGAACAGGAAAAATAGAACATATTGACGGCACAATGGACTCTGCAAGATACAAAGAAATTTTGAACGAAAGATGGATTTGGGCCGGTGCTGGATCGTCCAGCAGGGCAATGATCCGAAGCAGAAAAGCAAATCCCAGTAGAATATCTTCGAAAAAAGATATTCAAGTCTTGTAATGAAGTGACCAAAGAGAATTCAAAACAAGATAGCAATTGAAAATCTGTGGTTCAATTTACAGAATGCAACACATGCAAGAAGTCAAGGTAATATCGAGCATTTGTTGGAATTATGTTATGGTAAAAAAAATTGACGTTCACTGTGCCAGAAACATCTTAAAATTATAGAAAAAGATTGGTCGACATCGTGATCTCAAAAGCAAGAGTCACCAAATACTAAAAGCTGGGGTCCACTTACTGTTGCACATCTTAATTTTTTAATAGCTAACTAATATTTTTATTCAGGCTTGATTAGAAATTTTGAAAATGGTTGTAAATCGTCTAATAAATATTTTCTAAATGAATATATAGTTCAATTATGGTTGTTGATTATCTGAAAAAAGTACAATTCTTTTTAATATTATTTTAGGGGTTCGCTTACGTTTGCGTAGCACTATAAATAAAACAACAGGTTTGAAAAAACACGAAAAATATGCATGAGCGGGAGTCTGAAACTGAAATTAGCTGTCCAACTTTGTAGTCTCCATAGACTCGCTAAACGGACAGATATTGACTTTTTTTCACATTATGATGATTGTTAGTATTATTATTAATATTACTAATAGAAGTAGCAGTTGATAGGATGCATAGGCTCGCGAGACTAAAAGATACCTACCATGATTTTCAGTAGTAGTAGTAGTAATATTAGTAGTAGTAGTATTAGTAATAGTTGTTATTGTTGTTGATAAGATCACAAATGATACATTTGGATCCGTACAATAATAATAACAAATAATAAATGAAATGAGTGAAACTATTGCAATGCTTAGAACTGCACGGATGTTGAGGCAGGCGTGAGTTGTCTGAGGAAACTTGCTATTATTAAATTTCTATTACCAGACATCGGGCGTGAATTTACAACTGGAAGATTTAATAATAACAATAGAGAATGAAAAGGAAGTAGCTGTAGAATAAGACAAATTTACACTATTCGGATTATTGTCTTCATCATTGTTGCAATATTTATCACAACGTTTCGACCGTTGTTCTTCAGGTTTTTGGAATGTCAAACAGAACTCCTTATTTCGCTCACTAGGGTAGACTGTTCTAGTTCAACTAGTTGATATCTAATAGATGTCAGTTATCAGCTATCTCCTGTTAAATCACCTCTCCATGTTATCCACTGCCTTAACAAGGTATTGAACTCACACTGTCACTGGATCTAACCAACGCCTTTATCCACTCTGCCATGTGTCCTTAAGGACATCTGTGTGTGAATTTCCGGGAATTATAAACTTAATGTTTTTAGCAACCATATTCTTTCTTACCATTGCTTATATTGCAATTTTTTGCTGTTATCAACGCATTTTTACCAGAGCTCATATTGCAATATACGTTGTTATTATTGCTTTTCTCTGGGACTCCTTATTACTGGTTCCCATATTGTATTCATTTCCACGCTTGGTCGGCTCAGAAGATTTTTGTGGCCTAGCATATGTGTGGATTCCTTAAGTTTACAAATTTTCCAATGATGTTCTTTGTCTATGATTTCAACCTGATTCCACAGAAGGCAGTGATCCCTCTTTTCTCTCCATATGTGGTCAGCCACGACTGATTTTTCCACTTCCCCTCGTGTTACAGCTTTCTGGTGTTCTTGAAACCTTACCTGAAGGGGGCGGCCTGTCCCCACTTTATATTTCTTTCCGGAGCTGCACGGAGTGGCGTACAGAGTCTTTAGTCATGTTCTCCTCTATGTGGAGGTGGGGGGCTTACTATGGAGAGATATCTGCGAAGTGTCGTCAAGCTTTTGAAGGTTGTCCTGATGTTATATGGACCGCAGATCCTTTGTATTTTCTCTGATAACCCCTTCGCATAAGGCAGACAGACTGTTTTCTCAGTGTTGTTGTCCTCCTCTTTTACCCGCCTATCCCAGTTTATTGGGGCTGCTGACATGTACCCAGGGTAGTTGTTACGTTGTAGGGTACTACTTATACTGATATGATATGGCAACAATGATGAGAACAATAGTCCGAATAATGTAAATAGTGTACATAATACCTCATCTCAGAAATATAGACAGATACTGAAAGGCCGAAACGTTGTAATAAATATGGCGACAAAGATGAGGATGATAATCCGAATAATGTAAATAGTATACATAATATCTAATCTCAGATTTTCTGCTTAGAGTAATAATTGTTTTGTACAAATCAGGTAAATGCATTAATGTATTAAGGCGTATGACGTAATACATCCCTTATTTAAATTTGGCCAGTTCGCTCGCCATTGAAAAAGTCATGTGTATGTGTGTATGTATGTGTGTTTGTGTGCGTGTGTATTGCAAAAGGTCATCATGGCAATTTGATGAACTTTGAATCAAACGCGTCTGTAAGATCATTTCCCGAAATTGATATTTCCCCGCCATTGTCATTCTTTAATCTACTTTCGAATTGCCTTGATCCTGTAACATCGTGACAAGGATCAAATCTACGCTAAGGAAAAAAAAAACATCTACTTGGTCATGTGAATTTCATCTAGTTGTAATTACTGCAAACATCTTCAGGGAAAAATAAATAATCGTAATACAAAACATACGTTTTCGAAAAAGTACAATGATGACATGAACAATGGAAATATATTCACACGCATTGAGATATTTATATATAAATGTGTACATAAAAGGAAAAGCATTTATATGTACGCATGTATATCTATCTTTCTATATATGTAAGCATGAACATATAGATATATAGGTGTCCACAATGGTATATGAATTCATGGAATTTTGGCAAAATCAGTTGAATTTCAATTAGATTTAAACTGTTTCAGTTAAGACTGTTTTTTTTTTCTTATTTACTCTTGAGTAAGTATTTATTTAAAAACTAACTGAATTGAAGCGACCGATTACGCAATTCTTGTAAGTGATCAGAATAAATGAATATTTCTCGAAAGGTCTTTGTCACGTTGAAATTTGATATATACATATGGTTGTAACCAATAGAAGGGCATCAGTTGTGGTTTATTAAGCTTGGCTTATTTGGACATACGGAATAAGCAAGAAACATCAAATTATATCAGTTGTCATAACAGTTTAAGGCAGCGATTTTAAAAAAAAACTGATGTTAAATAAAGATTTAGGGGCGAAAACATTTCACAGTGATAACAGCAACGTAAAAGTAACAGTGTATATATATATATATATATATATATATATATATATATATATATATATATATAAATGTGTGTGTGTGTGTGTGTGTAAATATATATAAGTGGATATTGAGGTCAACGCCCAAAGGACGACAATCTGTTTCATGACGATTGGTGGGGAAGCATGAAACAGAATGTCGCTACTGTGTCTCAATGTCTATTTTTATATTTACATACGCTCTATCCTTGATATTGAGCACTTTAACTCATAAATATACCATACTATAAAACTATAATTTTATCATGTATATATATATATAGCATACTTCATATATATATATATACATATATATGAGGCATGCTATAGTTATGGATGAAAGTGCTCAATATCAGAAATAGAGCGTATAACAATATAAGAGATATGTTATATATATATATATATGTATGTGTGTGTGTGTGGTCTGGTGATGGTATTCCAACTCTTGTTGGAATACTATCTCCAAACAAACAATACCCGCTGGTTGTTGATGTCATTACCCATTTTTTTTTTATATTTCCATACGCTCTATTGCTGAAATTGAGCACTTTTACCAACAAATATTTTTATCATAGATCTCTCTCTCTCTCGCTCTCTCTCTCTCTCGCTCTCTCTCGCTCTCTCTCTCTCTCAATTTGGTGTCAGTCAGAGCTTCTATCTCTGAGCCATCTTCACTCGACAGAACGAGTCAGTCAAATCTAGCGTAGTGTTTTTACAAATGTAAACAAACGCCAAGCAGTCATAGTGTTCTATTCTTTTTACGGAAGAGCTTCGCATTTACGCAGGTGACCGTTCTTTTTAGAATTTGCTTGTCGTTCAACAGTGCTCAATTGAAAATATATTTTCAAGAGCTAATATATGCATATATGTATGGCAAAAGTTATTTGTAGTGTATATCCGTGTTGTAAATAGATGCCTCCTTTTTATTTTAAATAGTATATATTACTTCTATCGGCCTGTTCTCTCGAGAAACCTTAATAAAGAATGTGCTTTTCGGCAAGTTTCTAATCGGCGTCGCCCTGTGTATGAGAAACCAAGGTTTTATCAAAAGCTTTAGATTGCTCGGCCACAAAATCGTCTTCTTAGTCCAAGTTTTCTATTAAGGAATGAATGCAAATCCTCGTTCAGATTTTTCACAAAGCTCTATATCTGCTCAGTATCACATCCGAAATGTAAACACAGCAATTTATAAAGAGTTAATGGATTTATTATTAATCCTACATTTTTTATTACTTAAAACGTTACTTTTAGTAGATACCCTTGTTTAAAATAGACCCTCCCTTAACGGTATTATTTATGTGTCAGTTTTTGTGTGTTTGTAGATATAATTATATTGAATATTATGATTGTATTTCTTCAGTCGATGGTTGTTACTTACCATCATCTGAAAAAATACAATAATACTGAAACGTGAAAGCTTTTGTCCAGCGATTTCAAAATGTTTTTTTATTATAATCTCTTATAATAAAAATATCATAATATATTTCTCCGCTTTGTATTTGAACACTTTTTAAAAAGTAAATATTACGAACAGTGGATTTTTACTTCATCTGTTCTTTCTCTCATTTGGGTGTATATACACACACACACACACACATATATATATGTATGTATATATATTTATATATATATATATATATATATATATATATATATATATATATATGCCTCTCTGTGTGTGTGTGTGTGTGTGTGTACTGTATAAATTTGATGTATGCCAAAAGTGATATATTGCAAAAGGAACAGCTAAATTAAGTTTATTAATTAAATTTATAAAAACGAAAATATAATACAATTTAAAATTTTAAATTTTGGAATCACCAATTTTTATGCGACCACATTTTCTATCAGAATGGTTTCATTAGGCAGTTAATCTCTGCCTTATAAAACCATTCTGGTAAAACACATGTTTACATAAAGATTGTTGTTTCCAAAAAGTTGATAATATATATATATATATATATATATATATATATATATATATATATATATATATATATATGTGGGGGTGATTAAATGTATTTTCTATCTTGATTAAAAGTCTTATAGTTGCTCTCTTACAAATTACGCAGCGTTTATTTCAATTTTCAAGTGTTCACTTTATAAACACTGATTTTTTTTATTAAAAAAAACAGGTAGATGCAGATCTTTGATCTCCTTAGAAACTCCTATTAATAAAATATTTCCCGCCCCCACCCACCAGACAAATCTCCCCACTCGACAATTTGTTTAACTCTAGCTGTCGAAACTGTTGTGTTACATTTGAATGTAAATAATTATTATCTCTACTTTAATTAAATTATTATTGAATTATTTCTTTCCAAATGCATCTTGAAATCTACATTTGACTTGGCAAACAAAACTTCAATAATGTTTCGTAAAAAAAGTTATTTTGAAAAAGGGTTTATTGCAAATACAAAATGATTAGAAAGCTTTGTTCTGATCCTTATACAGTGAGAAAATATTAGCTGATTCTTTGCCATTTTTTACATATTTTTCCTTTTTAAATATTTATCAGCCTCCCAGAAAGTTATATCCGTAATGAGGGCAAAACACTCGTACCACACCGCATTTTACCATTCTACTGGATCAAAATTTCTTTTAAAGGAAACAATATTAAATTCAGGAGAATAAAAACATAATTTATAAACGATACTATTAAACATTTTTTAAGATGATTTCATAGAAAATATTTTAAGCGAATTAAGAATATAAATGTGAGTTTTAATTCTATACCATTGAAACTTTAACTTGAATACAAGAGAAACTTTTTGTAGACACCCAATCTCTACTTATTCAAATGCTTATACATATATATATATATACATATGTACGTATGCAAGATCATAAATATATAGCAGACAGAAAACGTGTTCAATGAATATAAGGTTTCATCAGGGTGTACCATAACTGTTTTCCAACTAAATTGAAAGACACATGTTTTGACAACACAATCAACAAAAAATCAGGGCTGGGTGTTTAGGAATATGGGATGGTCGGGATAGAAATTTTACACAATGACTAACACAAAGACATGCTATTCAACGCATCTGAAGCAATACACCCGACAATACTAAACAAAGAAATTCAGTCCGGTTTTGGCGGTAAAAGCAGCCAAAGCAGAAGAGGGAGGAATAAACGCGAGATTTTGGCAACCTAAAAAATATTCTGGAAACAGCGTACGGGATTAACAACAGGACAGAAAATTACGATTAACATACGGGACACAACGAGTAGAGGACATCAACAAGCAAGCGTTTCAAAGCCTCCATTCACGTTTAGTCTGGTAGATTACAACGTAAAACTCCAGAACTGTACAAGACACGGGAACGGAAATGGATGAAAAGCAATGAGTTTTGACATAAAATGAAAGTAAACTCAAACAAGAAACAGAATCAAATGGGAAATGTCATTGCAGTGTTGAGCGACCTCGAAGCAACAGCGCAAAATTTCAGGTCTCAATCAATGGCCACATTCTATATATCATGACATTTATCACAGATGGATTTCATCATTTCACGTGTATCGCTAAGGGGCGCGGGCAAATAGAAGTTTGAGCAATAGGGTAACAGATGTTTAACAGATTTGAGATTTGATTCTCAGTTCAAAAATCAATGACGCATCTCAATTAAAATTTCATATTAGAAAAGCTTTTAACAATCTCTTATAACTACTCTAATAAATTTAGTTTGTTTCAGCTAAGGTTTTATATATATTGACTTCTGTATTCTCTATTTAATTGGACTCTTGATGTTCTCAAAGAATATTTACAAATTTATTTACTATAAAACTTTCTCCAAGTAATTTTCAAGCTTAGCACATTTGAGGAAATGAGTGTAAAATAAAACAGCATTTAGACGAACTAGAAACTAAGATCTGTGTATCAGATTTAAACCAGCACAATTTTCTCCAGATGATTTTTGCTATGCTTTCCTCTATTACTTTGGTATATAAGAAATGCTTATGATATAACAAATAATATTTTAATTTGTAAACAATAATAAATTGCAGTTTTCTTAAATTTTTAGTTTTTGCGCATGCGCACATGTGTATGTTTTAGAATAAAAATAAGCAGTATTTAGTAAAAATTTTCAAACGTAATATGTGCCTAGATGTCTGTAACTGAACATTTAAAACTCAACGAAAATTTCTGAGCACAGAATATTTGAAGGAAAGTGAGAAAGTCTTTTTTATAAGATTACATGGCAATCATGAAAATCTTTTCACACTGGGAAAATTGATTATGAAACAATAGAGATGGGAATACCATTAACTAAAAAATAAAATTGCCACACCCTAATTATGCGCAGCTATTTACTCAAAAGAAGCCGTGAAGCTAATGTAGATGACTGACAATAAATCTACATCTATAAATCATTATGTAGACAAGTTCCAAATCCCAGACCCCCATATTAATACAGGTCTGTGCTCTCGCAGGCATGCCACCATGAAGCTGACGAATACCATCATTTTTGATCTATTGAGACAATATAGAAAAATGTGTAGGCGTGTTAATCATCATCATCATCATTATCATCATCATCATCCGTTGAGTACTTCGTTGGTTGAACCTAGGGGCAAAAGAAACAGACAACTTCCTCCATGCTGAACTGTTGGCGGTGTCTCTCAGGAGTTGTCATGTTCGTTCACTCTTTGCTGTTGTCTGATTAGTTCTTACGTTGCAGTCTCCGTTCTCCATCCGTCTTCAACAATGCCATAAATGATAGTCTTACAGAAGCTGTCATGCAGTGTCATTTTACCGAACCATGCCATATTCCGACGCTGAATAGTGGCGAGGAGAGATTCCATGAGACTTTGAACCTTTTAAGCGTTGTTTTTCGGGGGTGGGGGTGAGGCTGGGTCATTCCCAGTATGATATATGGAAGGGCTTTTTCAAGGATTTGTTCTTGAATGCCTAAATACTTTTTTCCTATCTCAGCCAGGATTAGCTTAGCCATTGTATAATCATGCGCCAAACATGAAGAATGGTGTGAAAGTCTGGTAATAAGGACGTCCAAATGAATATGAAATGGTCTTGCAGAGAATGTTGATTAACACGGGCATCATATGGGTGGGTATTATTCTGCTGGGATAGTTCATCGCTTCTTGTATCAGGAATGTCAGCAGAATGTGTTTAACCATTTCTGGACGTACATGGCGCTGGGTTACTTTCAGAAACACCGAAATCATCTAATGCCATCATGTTGTGAATCACACCTGCGTGCTATGGGTGGATATAATATTTCCCCCGGTCTACGTGTCATATGCAAACGACTATCCATTTCATGAAATTCGAACGTGCTAACAGAGTATCATTCGATTGCCCTGGGAAATATATCTCGATCACACCGCACATGTACAGAACAGTGTTGTTGTGTATGATGAAGTTTATCTAGATTCTCAGCTGTCTTTATTTATATTTCTGTGGTCATATATTTTACTAATAAAATGTGTTGATCTTAGCGAGTGACTGAACAACATGGCTGCCTAAAATCTGGTATATCTAAACTGCAGGAATATTCAGCTGAACATCACGTCCAATTGAACAACATTGACCAACCAACTATTTAAAGGCCCACTATTTGACCCCCTGTCAAAAGGATTTTGATTGGGCCCTTTTAAATTAGACTTAAGGGGCCCGGGGTGTCTTTTTGGCATTAAATC